AAACGAGTCGGGGGTACGAAATTTACCTCGATTGGCAGTCGAAAATTCCTCCGGTGCGGCGGCGGGTGGCGGCGGCCGGCTTTTGGTTCGTTTTCTCTGGCGAGCGGCAGGCGGCTAGGGTTTGTGGTATGGTGTGGGGGTTCTATTTATAACCCTTTGCCTTTTGATCTCAGCCGTCCATTTTGTTTTAATCTGGACCGTCCGTTTTTGATTAAATCTGGGCCGTCCGTGCGTTTAAATTTGGGCCGTTCGATCACACGCTTGATCTGGGCCGTCCTATCGCGCTACGCGGATCGCCAACGTGGCCCTTTTTGGAACGACGTAGTCTTGCCACGTGGCAGGTCCCGGTTGGCCGGGACTGCTGACGTGGCTGTCGACGTGGCTTTTTTTTTTTCGGCCCCTTTCCGGGCGCTACATAATGCATCCTCAATTGTTTTACAAAAAACGTTAGTATTTCATTCATCAACTAGTAGTCCTCTAAACATCTCACACTAAAATGAAGTCAATATGAGAATTTAGAAACAACAAGTATACATTTTATGACATGTAATATTGGGTTCTTAACCTTTCATATGAAATCAAGTTACTTATTATATATATTCTCGTCATACTATTCCATTTTTCCTATCGGCATCACTGGAGGCCCGTAAGGATCCCCGCTACACATGGAATCCAAACATTTCTTTCATTAATCAGTTGTTCCCATACCACGTCGGATAATGAGCACCACAATTTAAAATCGTCTAAACACCCCGTCTGGTATGAGCGAAATTAATTGCTCCCAACTCCGTCCGTTATGGAACTTTTCAACCCCGTACAACTGATAATACTTCTACGGTAGGATTTACCCTATGCACAAATTTCGCACTCTCTCCCATGATACCCAGTAAACTCTTTTTATCGATTTACGCATGCAAATTTTCTATTATATTTAACTAACGTAAGATTCGTACTTTAATTAATATTAGAATATAAAATTCGTTTTCAAATCCAATTAAGAAATAAAGAAAATGTAAACAGAAACGAAGTAAAACGTCATAATATGATAGGATCCTCTATATGCAATAGCATGAACAATAAAATAAAATAAATAGGTCAGGACTAAATTAGCAAGGCAGGATACGATAAATAAACAATTTGGAATAAATAAACAACATGGAGTGAAAACAAAATGAAATAAATACGACGATTCAAGATGCGTAACTGACACATGAGTTTTACATAAACGTGGCGAGATAAGAATGAAAATAAGTCAGACCAACAAAAAAGAAATAAGCGACTACAAAGCAAGTAAATTAGCTAATAAATAAGAAAGAAAAACAATAATAAAATGAAAATAAAATAATAAACACCATAAGATAAAATTTGAGACAAAAATAATGAATAGATAATACATAGTAAAACTAATGGCAAATATAGACGATTGGTTAACCGGCTATGTCAGCAACCTGTATTTAATTATCATGGATTTATAGAACATTTTAAATTTGCCGTTTATTATCTATTTACTTTAATTTAACCGTAATAGGAAAAATATTGAGAGATCTTTATTTTGGTTCGGTGTCAAGAATACTGTTTTTTTTTATTACGGTTTTTAACAGTTTCTATTTCTTGAATTTTCCTAATAAGATTTGAAAACGCACATCAAAATGGCGTGAAAATACGCAAAAAATGATAAAAGGGCAAAAAACTCATTGGGGGTCGGGTTGGGATTCCAGCGTTGTGGTGTAGGATCGAGTTGGGATTCTGGCGTGGTGACGCCGCCAAGCTCTGCCACCTGGTCCTCCTTCTCCGACACTTCTCCCTCTCGGCCAAACCAATTTTGGTCGGTTCCTAGTGGAAATTTGTTTAAATCGTGGTTATAGAGTATTTTTTAGAAAAGAGAGGGAAAAATTTGGCCTTACTGGCGGTTTCTCTCGATTACCCTGTATCGAAAATGGTTTAAATAACTAAGAACAGAGAAACGAGAAGAAAATTCGAGCTTACTAGTGCATTTTGGGGTTTTGGCACGGTGGCGCCCATCTCTCTCCAGCTGTTGAGCTCTCCTCCGACCGCCCTTCTTCTTCTTCTTTGGTAACCCTGTATCGGCTAGGGTTTTGCGGCCGACTGAATAGAGGTTTAAATACCTCTCTTCCCCTGATCTTGACCGTTCGTTTGGGTTTGCATGGGGTAACAGGAGTCGCTTGATCAGGCTTATTCGAAAAATTTATCTGAGTCGTTCGCGCGTGTGAGAGTGGACACGAGCCGTTCGATCTTCCTGGCACGCGGATTGCCTGCATAGGCTTCCCATGCGGAGCCCTTGTTGATGTGGCTACCACGCAGCATGCAACGATTCGTTGTGCTGTTGACTGAGCATTCACGTGGTCCACTTTTTCCTTTTTCGCGAATTGACTTCTGTTTTCAAATTTTTTCTTTTATATGTGCCCCCTTTTATTTGTAATTTGGTCATGGTTTCTGAAATTTACTTTTAAAGGTGCCCAAAATGTATTTTTCTCTTACTAATTATTTTTTGCATCTTTTAAATAAAAAAGGAAACTTAGTTATTATTATTTAAGAAAATTAATATTCACTATTCTGAGACTAGTTTAATTTTATCATATTATATTCTTATTTATTAAAAATATTATAATACTGTTACATAAATATCCACATAATAAAAAATATTAATGTAAATATTAAATTTTAAATATATTGTCAGTATAATAATTACATTACTAGTTATACTATTGCGAGTATACTCTTTTATAGTATTATATTTTTGAAACACCATTGAACTGAGTGATAGTACTTAAATAGAGATATTAGAACGAAATTAATACTGAAAATTTTATTTTAACTTTATGTATTCTTACAGTTTTTTCGTAAATTTATATTTAATTTATAATTATTTTGTGAAAAAAAATGAAAAAAAAAAAAGTGATTACTAGTATGGAAACCGCATTATGCTAGCAGCATTTTTAAAACTTAATGATCAATGTAAACACATTGTTTGTCATACGACGTGTGTTTAATGGTGATAGATACACAGTTAATACTAATTATTTATTCGGATAAATTAAAAAATTCAGATCGTACTCAAAGGAAAAATAATAAAGAAATTAGATTTCAAATTTTTTTAAATAGTAAAATAACTTTTTAATGTAATTCAAAGTATTATTATGTATCAAAAAGACCCTGAGACAGCTGTATATCTTAAAACCAACGATAGCAAAACATAAATAACTTCGACTTCGACATACAACACCCATCCCATTTCAGTCTTCAAGCTTGAAAAAGGAAGTTGATGCGTGCTTCAATTCATTTTTCCAAGTACCTAATAGACCCTATAAAAGGGAACCCAGTGATAGACATGTGAAAAATATAGTAAAAAAGATACATAGAATCGTCAATCAGAACAAAACAATCCTACTGTTCAAGAAAAGATCTGGATTGGGTTGGTGGGGCGCTTCTTTACTATCTTCGTGAATGTATACGGTGAGAGAAAAGAGAGAACTGAGACCATGGACTATATAGAGTTCTACACTAGAAAAGGTTGCTTTAGCCCATAGCTTTACTTTGCTCTTAAAACAGTAGAATAATATTATTGACTTCATGTTGCTACCCATGTAATTCTAGAAATACATGGGTTAGTTTTTAAGTTACAGTTTTTTATTAGACCAAAAAAAAAAAAAGTTACGGAGGGAGATATTTGCAATTTATTTATTGTTAAATTTATTAGAAGCAATCTAAATCTAACCTCTTAAAATATAACTACAATAATCTAAACTAGCTAGTATCAAGACAATGAAGAATGTGGGAGAAGCCGTGTGGTTTAGGGCAACATAATTCGTGACCTATTGAGTTATAGGTAGAAGTCCTTCGAAGGGGTTAGATGAGATCATGTGGAAAATCATTTTGGATAACAAAGTGTTCATATTGGTGAGAAAGTCGCCCTTTAATTTTTACTAAAGGAAAAGGATACCCTAAATGCTGCAGGTTTCACACCTTTGAAATGTGCCATATTTCAGGGAAACTTTGTTAACAAAGAAAGCATCCTTTTCTTCGGGAAAATGTCGTAAAAAGGAAAGGTTATTTACACCGAGAGTGGTATGCAAAAGAAGGTTAAGGACATATGAAAGAATGGTGGCATTACAGTTAAGTCAAACTTAAAAATATTGATTGTAAGCACTGATATTTTAACTGTTATATTATAATTATTCAGAATTTTTATTCTTTAAATGTTAAATTTAACACCAAAAAAACTAGTGCTCACAATAATTTTGATCTCAAAGTTTTACACTAAAACTTTATGTGTAAAAAAAAAAAAAAAAAGAAAAAAAGATCTTGCAGGCAATGGTTTGGCATTTGGCACACAAGAAAAGGAGAGGCGTCTGTCTATCAGTTGGTTTACAGCTCGAAACCTTTGGGATTAAGAATTTAACAGTGCTTATTAGGCACTAGTAGGTTTTGTCACATACCCTTCACGGCCACAAATAGAGTATCACAGGCAAGCTATTTTGGGTTACCTTTCACTCTGTTTCCACCTTGTCTTTTGACTTTGCCTCATCTTCATGGAGCTTTCTCCTATAACTCATGTTTAGCTGAAAAGAACTTTGAACTAGCTGTCAAATTAGTTAATGTCCATAAAAAAAAAGGAATAATAATATTGTGCGCAAATATAATAAACAAACAAGAAAATTATCACAAACAGAAAATCTAGAGAGTTCATGTTAATCGGTCTACATTTACAGAAAATGCAGTAGCTGAGTTCTTCAACAAAAATTTTAGAAAAAAAAAAATTATGGCAGAAACTCAGCCACGGCTCAAGCCTTAGACAAACCTTCAAGGAAATAAAGGCATATTCCGAAAAATACCAAGGTGAAAAAGAAACTCCATAATTAAAATTTGACTTAATTATGTATTAAGAAAACCCTAAACCTTCAGGATCCATGGAGAAATCTAATGTGCGAACAGCTGGTATAAAAATGAGGAAAGAAATACACAAGACCAATTCTCATAAGTAGGTACTTTGTATGATAACATTTAACATTAATAAAACAAAAATATGACAACAATCATTAATTTATACATTGTGTTCCTTAAAAAATGACAACATAACTGGCACTTACCAGTATGTATATCAGTTAAAGGGGGAAGAAATTTCTGGAGAAGACAGCAAGATTTTGTCAACTGGCTATAATCTTCCTAAGTGGGCATATGAGCTACAAAATTTATGCCATGTGGTATGTGTTGTCACCTATAGACCAAATTCTTCAATGTCAGAAATCGAATACTCCTACTTTCTCTCAACATGTTAAATCTAATCACGGGATGGTGAAAATGGAGCACAGCAAGAAGAAATATCAATTCCAGCAACCTCCATTGCATTGCAAACCCACTCTGGGATGTCACCTTTTGGAAACTGCAAGATAATAGACAAAATCACAAGGTTATAATAATATTCTAACCAGAGCCAGCTCCAATATTTTTACTGGTTTTCCTTTTTAATTCTCTTTCTTACTTGTTTCATATCAGGTCAAAATTCAATCAAAGACCTACCGAAGGCTACATTAATCTTTTCACCGTCTAAGCCAAAGAAAAGTTCAGAGCAGTCCACAGCCACTGATTAAGTATAAGATCACATCATGAAAGATTTTATCTTTAGCGAGGTTTGCTGTAATGATGTTTTCATCTGCTTATTGATGAAGTGCGCAAAACAAGCAAATCATCAGGAAGCTCCAGCAACCAGTATAAAATATACTTGGCAAAAAATTATTCTTTCCATGTGACAACTTATAAATCAGCAAAATAAATTCCAACCCCCAAGTTTTTTCACTTTTTACCCTTTTTCATTTCTGGGTTTTTGGTACTTTGATGGCTAGTGAGCTCATTGTACAGTGACAATAGCATTGTACAACCTTGGTTAGATGACATCTTCATTTGATCCCAACCGCAAAACAAGCTCATTGTACTTGGGTTAAGACATTAATATTTTGCCACCAAATAACACAATTATGTTACACTAAATACAATTGAAATTTACTCCACGGGCAAAAATCACCATCTATGATGTAGAATGGAAGAGTTATAGATTACCTAAATAGATTAGAAATCATAACTATTTTAAATATAAAACTACTGTACTATTTAAGAGTCTTTTGTTATACTTTTTAATAACTTTTGAATTTTATTCTGTAGTACTTAATTTTCTCATTTGTTTTAATATTTCATAATCTTTTTAATATTAATATTCTTATTTCATTAAGATTAGTATTCTTAAATTAGTTTTAATATTTCAAAATATAGTTAAAAAATAACTATTTAATACTTTGTGAATATAACTATAACCTCTTGAGAGGATCATTCAAGTAGTCAATAACATTTTTGAGAATTTTTCAGTATTTGATTGCGTGATTCAATCAGCTCTTAGTTGTGATGCCTAAGAATCCTAGGTGTGAGATCTAGGTTTTTTATACCTCTAAGTAGACAAATCAACTCTAATTTGTCCTATATCAACCTAGAAGAGGAGGTAAAGATTGAGCATCCCACAAGCTCAAAAATTAAGAGTGTAACTCAATTTGCTTTTGATGATAAATACAAACAAAACTGAATATTTTGGTTTCTATTTTTTAAAACCCCAACTAAACCGATTAAAGGTACAAGCTATCTGTCTGAGCCTTAGTTTTAGGCTTCTTTAAAATCTAAGTCATACATAAAAGCTAAAAATTTTTGCCTAGAACTTAAATTTTCCAATTAAATACAAAATAATTAATAAAGTATAGATCAATTTAGTTCATACAAATAACTTTAAGAAACAAGTATAAACATATCAAAGGCCTTGATTACACAAACAAGACCATAAATCAACAAAATTATAATCTACATAAATGAACAAACTTATATAAATATATATATATATGAAATTAATTATGTTATTAGAAATTATCATAAATATAGAAATGATAAAAAAATTACATGAACAAAAAAATAATTATTATAACTATCTAAATAATACTATTTAAAAAAATTATTCTAATATTAAATTATTTTCAAATATTTATTTTATTTTTAAGTTAATTATTGATTTACTTTATTCAATGTAAATATTAATTTAAACTATTATTATGTAATTACAAAATAAAGATTATCTGAATAATTTATAATAAATATACAATTACTATCATGTGTAAAAATATTTAGACAATCTATATATAATTACTAAGATTTTACCTATTCAAGCCAAATATAACTGACTAACAAAGTTGAACCGAACTGGCTTAAACCAGTTCTGTTCGGTTTTTCAGTTTAGACCAAACTATTAATGCCCCTACCCATAATTTAATTGAACGGTCAGCTAAGCATCCCTCAAGACATAGTCATCATACTGTTATTGTCTTGGAGAAAAAAGACAACATGGTATTGATTGTTCACATGCAGATAACTGAAGTTAGAGAGACTCAGAAGAAATAAGGACAATTGAAAGCAATAGATACCATTTTCTGCAGAAAATCACACACAAACCTGTAAACAAGGAAAAAACAATAAATCAGCTACTAAACCATGAGTGGAAGTCAATAACGTAAGGCCTAGCATACGACATAGTGAATACTGAATAGCACAAAGCTCTTCACATAGAAATGTAGACTGTTTAAAAAAGAAGGAAATGAATTAAACCAATAGGCAAACATACTCTGGAAACCTTCCTTCAATTATCGAGGAATGCAGATCCCTGCTAAGCTGCAACAGCAGAGAAATTTATTAAAGTTCAAAAAAGAAGTGGTAAAGCTTAAAGAAAGGAAAGTACTGCAAAGAGAAGTCAGGCCTCGTACCTTCATCATGTAATACAAATTGTGATATGACAGAAGCTGAGACCCCATGGCATCTTTTGTGACAAGACAATGTATATAAGCTCTTGTATAGTTCTTGCAGACCTAAGGAAATAGAAGAATAAGGAGAGGTATCATAATGGCAATTTCCACAGAAATGATCAAAGATACTGTCCCATTATGCCCATACCATACAAGGACATGAAGGGTCAATTGGGCGAGTATCATCAGCCATTGCATTGTGTTTGAGCTTCAGAACTCCCTGCATCAAGAAGTTCAACATCATGAATGAGTGTGGAGAAAGTCACCAGAGACTGAAGTTTATGCTTAGATATGATAAATGGGTCATGTTCTTGTAATGACCTGTCTTCTTGCCAAAACTTGTCAAGATACAATGGACATTTTATTAGTTAGCAGGTGAAATTTTGTGAAAGGTTCAGTCATTCATAAGTGACGCACAAAGTTTATAAGAAGGTCAACAATACATTATGCCTTGTTTCATAATGATAACTAAACTAGACATTTACTTCAATTAATATGTTTCACAGGAACAATTTTTCAATCCAGGCAAAAACTAACAAAAAAATTAAACTTGAAAATCACGACTGACCCATAACATGAAGAGATAATGACTATTATATATCAGAAAATCAAAGAATCAGCCATGCGAAACTAGAGTCATTCAATAATTACAACGAACCAGTGTGAAATGTGTATAGGTAAGAAATAGATATGCATATATTTGATCGAAAGGTCCCATCAGAGTTCACATCAGAGTTCAAACTAGTCACAAGTATATGGTATTTTCTGTGTGTGCAAGGTGTATAGGCAACACAGATGCTTGAAATTATAACTTCATCAGAGTTCCATGAATGTGCACGGTGCACAAGACATGTACATCAGAATTCCAATGTCCAAGATGAATTACAATTTACAATCAAACAAAAATCATCTCTTGAACCCTTGAGTTCTTTTTACTAGCAAACTCAATTATATGGCGGAAAGATTTTCTAAATTAAGACTGATATTTAATCTTTATCATATATATATATATACACATAAATATATTCTTTTTCAAATTTCTAATGAGAAGAAATCACCTCGGGAACCAAAGCAGTGCCAAATCGAGCAGTTCGAGTAGGATAAACACAGTCATACATGTCAGCACCAAGAGCACTGCAAACTACAATATCCAATGGATAGCCAACACCCTAAAAGGGCAAAAAAGAAAACCAGGAGACAAATATCATAATTCAGCAAAATGTTGAAAGTTAAAAACAAAGTTGTAAAGTTTGAAAAATAATTTGTACCATGACATATCTTGGTTTATCTTCAGGCAATGCTGCAGTGCATTGAGCAACAACACGCCAAAATGAATCTTTATCTTCACCTCCTGCAAGACCACCAATAGCATACCTGTAAAAGAAGATGGTTAAGTCAGCTTTTTTTTTTTTTAAATTGTTGATCAAATAGCAAAAACATTACTGATATGAAGAAATAAAGGGAATATCTCTAACAAAGATGCTGCAGTGAACTGGTAATCCTAGCATTTATTGAATATCTTAAAATCCCTCGAAGTGAGAAATGAAGTAAACTCATACATTTCTTAAATGATTTGACAAAATACATAGCAATTCCCTCAGGTGCATATGTTAGGCTGACAAAATTTTTAGTTATTTATTTTGAGCCAAAAACATTTGTTTAATTAGGAATTCTAACAGCTTCTGGAAGAGACCAATGTATACATTAGAAAGGATACAGTCAGAATAAAGATAAATTTTTATGCAGAGACTGCATACCCAGGTAAATTCCGGTCAACCAGGCCTCTAACGCATATATCCCTGATTATAATTACCGCAATAGACATCAAAAGAATTAGTTGAAGATCTGTAGGACTGATAGCAACCAAAGAGCTAAACATGCATCTTGCAGTAAAGATAAGAGCTCCAATTCAAATTCACCTTAGGACAGGATCTAAACCACCCTGTACAATGCCAAATAAGTTCTGATCTTGTGGCCTCTTGTGAGCTGCACACAAAAGTCAATGCAAAAAAGAGTTAATCTAACTCTTACTACAATAAATTATATTTATGTAATTATAACAACCATTTTCTGGGTCATTTGAAAAGAAAGAAAATTAAAAGCTTTTGAGGGCAAAGAAATAGGGGCATACAGGTTAAGAGACGTATGGTACCGTTATTTTGGATCTATTATGTTGGGGTATGACATTATTAAAAATGAGAATTTTGAGAATGCTATTGACACCCTAACTCATTTGTAAATCTTTTGTATATAGATGGTACCCCATTGGTACCTTATTAATACATACTTCACATTTTTTATTTTTTTAAAAATTACAATATTTATGCACTATTATGGTGTTTAGCTTATTTAGGAACTAGCATCTATAGACTTATTAATGATATGAGTGTATTATTTCCCACTTACTTACGATCTTATTTAGTTATTCTCTATTATAGGTTATTCAAATTAATTAGCTCATTTTCCTATTTTCTAGAATTCTTAGATAGATTTATGAATTTCTATCTTGATTATGTTTTAGTACCTACAAATAGGATACCCTAATTTATTTGGTAAGACTGTGCATATGATTGTCATACAAATATTCAAATGCTAGATGTCGTATTTTGGTTCTTAATAAATTTTCTTCGAGTATTGTTCAAGCTCTCTTTGCCTTACATCGATAAGGTTATATCCATCTTTAAAAGAAAATCCATGGAAGAGAGCAGCATTCCAAAAGTATTAGTGGAGTTATAGATTTGACAAAAGAAATAACTTCAAGCATTACTTATCCCTCCCTCTTTTTTTCTCGAAAGGAAAAAGAAAGAGAAAATCAGTACATACGGAACTACTTCTAAAACTGTTAAAAGAGAAAACATCTGTTAAATTCAACTTTTTAATGTAAATTGTTCAATTCCCTTTCACGTCCAAAGAAATAATGACATTTAACTATTGGATATTTACCTGCTATACATCTGTCAATCCAGCGAAGGGTGCGATACATAGCCTCCTCAATTCGTGGCCCAGTAATGGTGGTTTTGACAACATCATCAAGTGCCATAATGATATCTGCTCCTATTCTGTTCTGCAACATCATTATAACAAGATATATAATTTGTGCAACATTTTGAGATGGAATTGCAGAATAAAAGGATTAAAAAAGCTCTTAGTCTTCCAGAATTTTCTACCACAAGCTCAGATTAGAAGATCAATACATCAGTTTATACAAACATTTCCCATACAAAGTATGGGATACATATGGAAACCCAAAACTAAA